TGTCTTGATTCATTAATATTACCACGTGTAGAGGTATATGGCCATGGCTATATTGCTCTACTTTCCCCCTGGCCATATTGCTATACAATGACATCCACAAATGTTTACCAAAATATTAACTTTAAAAAGATAAATAAACGAAAAACTAACATGCCTATCCTCTTTCCCACACTTCTTACATAAGTACAACATAAGAGAGAAACCAAAAACTTACCAGATTAAGCAAATAAATTATGATTTTTACTCTAACTGTGTTAATAACCTGTTGACACTCTTACCACCAAATACGCTTATGGCGCCAATGAATATATTGCAGGCCATCTAGCGACATCTATCTATTTCCTCGGGTACTTTTTAGACTAAGTTAAGCATTTGGTGTTGCAGATCGCTGTAAATAAATTTCTAGTAGGAAATGAAAGGCATGGCCATATTGGTCTACATGGCCATATTACCTGCAGTTACCTTATTACTTCTTAGTAATATATAAACAATTACAATATCCGGGTATCTCATATGATGCTGTCGATGATTTTTTCCGCCACGTGTATCCCTTGCCAAATTGCCTCTATGTGTTGGTTACACAGCCCCACACATGCTCTCCAAATCAAGACCAATGTAATGGACTAACATAATAATACGATCATAAATATTATTACCCCATTTACTTTAGAACCAATATAAAGCCATTTGTAACACATACAGGGTGGGGAATCTTATACGCGTCGGTCGAGACTATGACATATGATTTTTTCAAATTACTTTTACACAGAAAGATCAATATCTATTGGAGCTCTAATTAAAAAATATTTTGGAATTTACAGTGTGCTTGAAAAAGTTTCTATTTAAAAAGTATTAACATTGAAATTTTTTAAACATTACAACCATGTTAATTACTTAGTACAATATAATATCAATACAAAATAAAAGTAATAGGTAGAAGGCAATTCTTATGCTAGCTAGTACATGGCTTGCATGAAAAATGCCTTTCAGCTAGACTAAAGTTAGATTATATCATCTATAATTTGGCAACTATACATTTTTTCAATTCGAGATTTGAGTTTTCGTGTAGTTGTCACAATGATAAGTGTCCCTATGGCAACAGTTTCTCCGTAACTGATTTCAGCTAAACTATAATTAAGTTAATGCATCTATAACTTGGCAACTACTCATTTCCTCACAACGGTGTTTGGTTTTTTGTTTACTTGTTACCATCATAAATATCCAAATGGCAACAGTTAGTCCTTAACTGATATTAGCTAAATTAAATCATCTATAACTTGACAACTACGCGTTTCCTCACATGATTTGGGTTTTTGTTTAGTAGTTACCATAACAAGCGTCCCTATGGCAACAGTTTCCCCATAACTGATTACAGCTAAACTACAGCTTAATTAATTCATATAACTTGGTAACTACGCATTTCTTCACAATGGGATTTGGGTGTTTGTTTAGTTGTTACCATGCCAAGCCTGGGTAGGACAGAATTTATGGCAGCACCCACTAATAACAGAACTTTTAGAGCTAACAAAGGGGGGCATTTAACAAAAAAAAACTTTGTTTTTTGACATGTACTATCACAGTGTTTCTACTTAAGCTGGAACCATATGGGAAACTTTTATTATTGATTTTGTGAAAAAAATTCATATGTGATAAAAAGTTCTACATGGTCCAAAACTTAAAATGCAACCATTTATTTATTTATACAAGTTCATACAAGTTTATTAATAATGTAATTTCTGGAATATAAAACAGCAAGCGCCTAAGTGAGTGAACACTTGTATTGCGCTGGTTAATATATGTTTAATAATTTCATTTTAATATAATTGTAATAATATTGCGTTCATCTTAGAATAAAATAATGATGTGATTACATGTTTATACCTACCCTACTCTAGTATTTTTATAAACTCATAATAATGTAAAAAAATAAATGTTTTACTTAGTTTAGAAAAAGTTTTTATCTTTGTAACATTCCTTATACTATGTGGTAAAAGGTTATATGTTTTTGGCAATGTATATACCAAGAATCTATGACAAACATTTCTATTAAATTTAGGAAAATATAGTAGCTTATTGGAGATACTTCGCGTACTATACATAGAAGTTACGTAATTTTGTTTAGACTTGTTGTTAAAAGCATATATACAAAGGCTGTGAAAGTAAAGCGATCTAATATTACAAATATCTTCTGTATACAGCAAGTTAGTGTGATAGCGTTTATTTCGGCTATAAATAATTTTTAAAATATAATTTTGTGTAACATTCAGCTTTTGTAAAGAGTTCTTATACAATCCACCCCATACTAGAATACCGTAACGAAATAATGGTTCAGCCAGAGATTTGTAAACTAACAATAGCAATGTTTTTGACAAAATTTCACGTAATTGATAGAATTTATAAATGAGTTTCCTTACTTTCTTTGTCAGGTAATCAATATGGTTACTCCATTTTAAATGTTGGTCAATGATTATTCCCAAGTACTTGATCTCATTTGTTTCTTTGATTGCCTCATTCATACCTTTAATTTTGATATTAGTAAAGCAATGTCTATTTGAATCTGTAAGACTAAAAGCAATATAGCGAGTTTTATTTATATTTAGTGATAGTTGATACAAATTTAACCAATTTATAATCTTTTCCAGTCCTTCCTCAACCGACAATTTGGTCTCTGCCCATGTTTTCCCACAAAATAATATACAATTGTGTCATCAGCATATGACACAGTGGTTGAACCTGTTGTTAAAGAGAGCAACGAGTTAATATAAACTAAAAATAAAACAGGGCCCAAGACAGTACCTTGGGAACTCCCTCCAATTTTAACAGTATCAGCTTCACTTATATCTTCATTTAATTTAACGCGCTGCTCACGATTTGACAAGTAACTTTTAAAGACGTCTAACACTGCACCTCGAACTCCATAATGTTCAAGAACATTAAGAAGTTTTTCGTGATATACAGAGTCAAACGCCTTTGCAAGATCTAAGAATACTGCAATACATTTTTTATTATCATCTAAATTGTTTGTTATTTCTCTAATAACAGTACACATTGCATCAGATGTTGCTTTACCAGCCCGAAACCCGAATTGGTGTTTATGCAATATATTTTTGTGGTCCAAAAATGTTACCAAGCGATATTTTAAGCATTTTTCAAAAATTTTTCCAAAATTACTAATTACACTAATTGGCCTGTAATCACAGATTTTCGTTTTGTTACCTGCTTTGTAAATAGGTGTAACAAGAGAGGATTTAAATTGCGATGGGACAATACTTTTTTCAAAGATGAAATTTATTATGTGTTTTAGTGGTTGTAAAATAAACAGGTGCGTTTTTTTTATTATATCAGATGTTACCCCATCACTGCCAGGCGCACTATTAATTTTTAAAGTTGAGATGTAATTAATCAATTCAATATCTGATGCTCTATCTTTAAGCATATTTAGACCTATATTAATGAAATATTCGTTACAGTGGTTTGCCATTTGTTTATTGTCAGTAAAAGGAACTCCTTCATTATTAACAATTTGATAGTTATTGACTTGCACTCTGTTTTCATTAGTGGCATCGCTAATTAACTTATACACTTTTTTAAGTTGTGTTTATTAATTTCCAGTTGTCTTAAATAATATTCGTTTTTCGTCTTTTTCAGTAGTTTATTTAGTGAGTTTCTATACGTTTTATATTCATGATCCAACTCTAGGGAGAAATGTTGGTTTAGTCGTTTTTTTAATTGATCTCTATTCTTTATCGATACTATTAGGCCATCAGTTATCCAGGGTTTGATTTTATTTTTTTTTTGTATATTTTTTAATACTGGTAGAAAGTTTAAGATAACAGTTAAATTTATGGATGAATAGATCAAAAGCGATCTGGGATCAGTTGATTGTAAACAATCAATCCAGGCTTCATTTTTTAAGAATGTTTGTAGTTTAATAAAATTAATTTTTGATAGTTTTTTCATATAGATTATTTTTTTTTATATTATCTGGTTTATTAATGTTTAAACTAATTGGGAAATGGTCTGTAATGTGACAGTTAAGTATATATGATTTATATTGAAAGTTTTCTTTATTATTGTATGCATCAGATATCATTTTTTTAATCCATATACGAGGTTTATCAAAAAATATGAATTTTACTCAAGAGTAAAGTACCTTTATTTTTTACAACACAGGAGAATGTTATAAAGGTATTTTGAATAAAAAATATGCAATTATAACCATTTATCATTAAAATTCAGATTTGGTGATTATTTATAACTACAAATAATTTGCAATGTAGGTAACGTAAATAATCACCTAACCTGAATTTTTAAGCTAAATGACTGTAATTGCATATTTGGACATAACTTTTAATTCTAAATTACTTTACCTCATAGCATTCTTCTGTATTTTAAAAAATAAGGTACTTTACTCTCGAGTAAAATTCATATTTTTTGATAAACCTCGTATACGGCTTAAAAAAATTGATATGTGATGATTGCATTTTAAGTTTTGGACCATGCAGAACTTCTTATCACAATATTTTTTTCAGAAAACCAATATTAAAAAAGTTTTCCATATGGTTTTAATCTAAGTAGACACACTGTATAACTCGGAACGGACAGACAATTGAGAGAAGTCATAATAAAAACAAATTTTCTCCTTACCGATATCTTTCATTTGGCATATATCTTAATCCTATTGGGAGGTGGGGCAAAACGGCCCATTCTCCTTTGTTGCAAAAATATTATCACCTACTAGATAGGCTTAGTGGAAAAGAACAGCCCTCGTAACTTGCTTGTTTATAAAATCATGCATGATTAAGAAGTGAAGACTCAGTTCTACAACTAGTTAAAAAGAAATATGGAGACCATTAAATACTGAATAGAGTTGGGCAAAATACCTATAAGATTTGTTCATTTTCATAAAGACATTTGAGCAAAAGTATAGTCAGAAAAATAATCCCAAGTCATATATAAAAGAACAATATTTTATTTAAACTTAATATTAACATTAAAAATTATTTAATCTTTTTCTTCTTACTTTTACCACTTTTGCTTGTTCCATTGAGCAAAACTGATTCAGCTTCAACATCGGCTTTATTAATGTTTTTGGACGATTTATTTGGACTACTTTCTTCATCTATTTCTCCGCCTTCACTATTTTTATGTTTTCTCTTTTTTAGACTTGTTTTACTACTATCGTCATTATCATCTTCTTGCATTTCTACGTCGTTCGCCGCAGCGAAATCTAAGCTTCTTAACCCTTCAGACAAACTTTGCAACCTTAGTTGTTTTGCTTCCTTCTTCAATTTCAAATTTTCTTTGTTATTCTTTTTCTTGTTTTTCTTTTTATCGCCATTTTCGCTATTTTTTTCTTCAATTTGTTTAAGGGAGTTCAATTTTGGTTTCATTTTAACCACATTAGAAACGTGAAGCCGGTCACATAACTTGTTAAAAGCAGACTTTGCATCTTTTGATAGGGATACAGAACTTCTATATTCTCTAATAATTTCTGCTATTTCCGGCCATTTGATGCTGTCTATACTTAAACAACAACTTTTCATTGCAGATAGTAGTTTAAATATGTGGCAGAGGAATTTTTCTGAAGCGTTTTTCGTATTAGAATTATCACAGAAGTTTTTAAACATTGTTACAATGTTTAATGAAAACTCTGAATGGCTGTCATTTAGAGTTTCTTTGATTTCTTCTGGTTTAGTACTCAAATACCTTTGATTTGAGTAGAATAAAGTGGCTAATTCCGCAGCTTGGGATTTTCTGAATACCTTTACATTATCGTCAAAGATGTACCTTAAAATTAAAGGTATTAAAGTGAGGTTACCGTCCCAACAAAGTTGCTGAACTTTTTTGAAAAACAAAATTGGCGTTACACACTCTCTTTTATTGAAGTACATTTCTAATTCGCTAGTAATTATTTCGGTTATAGAATTTTTAAGGCGCTTTTTAACTTTTTTTGGAGTTGCTTCATTGTTAATTAGTAAATCGGAACATTTAATGACATAAATACAGCAATCTGTGATTTGTTCTCCCATATCTTGTAAGATCCAAGTACTTTTGGTACCTTTATCTAATAAACTTTTTAATAATTCACTTAAAACGGTATTATCAACACCATCTATATCTCCAAATTTCTTTAAATTCGACAGTTTCTTTAAACACGACTTTAATCTGTTTAGTAAAGGTCTTTGGTGTTCATCTCTTACACTGAACTCAACAGTCTTCAATAAAGGTAACATTATCTCCAATGTTCGAATCATAGATGGAGTAGAATCCAAATAAGTATCAATCAAATCCAAAACCCTTATTCTGAAATGAGTTAAAGTCCTTTGATCTTCATTTTGCTTTTTACGCTTGCCGTGGTTAGGCCTAAACTGTTTAAAAGCTTTCCCTAAGGCTTTATCTAACTTCTCACCTTCTGTATCACTCATTTGATCCAGATCTATGCTTTCCTCATCAGATTTGTAGCCATTTGATATTAAAACTTTGTGTAATGCCATACGAAGTTTGTCATTAACAGTTTCATCTTGATTGTCATCATCATCTTCTTCATCGTCTTCATTTTCCTCGTCGTCATCATCCCCTTCATCTTCAGAGTCTTCTTTATCAGAATCTTCCTCAGAGTCTTCGTCACTGGCAGCATTGCCTTTTGATAGAGGATTTTCATTTTCTGGGTCTAATACAGATACCAACTGATGGAGAGTATTATCAGTCATGTACTCGCATAAATATGGAAAAACGAGGTTGACGATAGTTCTTAATAATGAAGAATTTTGTGATAGGAAGTTCAAAAAAAGATCTGTAACTACTTCTATCCACATCAAATCTGCATTACTGTCTTGAATCTCGGTCTCGTTCAATGTATCACTGTCTTTCCGACGTTTCCTGGTTTGTTCAAAGCAAATAAAAAGCTCATTTAGAGAATCCGTTGCTAATTTAGAATCGTTGAATAAAAGTAGACCCAAATGTAGGAAAAGAGTTAAGAACACTGATCTTAATCCACCTTTTTTCTTCTTCTTTTCAATTTTCTTGATTGTTGCAATAGTTTTTTCCCAAATTGCGTAATCTTCATTGCTGATTGGGCTCCTTAGGATGGTATCTAAATTTTCGGGAGTTAATTTTGAGTCTAAATGTAGGACGACTTGTGAAAGAATGTTGTGTAGTTCTTCCAGTTTTTGAAGTTTCAGGTCGAGGGCACCAAAAAATGCAGTTTTAAGTGAAGCTGTAAAGAAAAGGTAAGTTATAATACAGTCAATGGTATAGGTATTTTAAATTAATCAGATTTTGCTTAGTAAAACGGTAATGGGAAAACTTTATTTCTCAGAGATATTACATAGCTTTTTTTGCATTTTAATTCAATAACTTCAGTTAATTTTTTTCTGAAAAACATTCATAAAATCGATCAAGAAACATGTTACGTAAAAACATTCAGTGAAATATCTCACAACTCTAATGGTGATTATTTAAAATTTACCCTAATATAACTCGTACTAAAGATCTTGAATTAGGTGGTAAAAATCAAAAAGTTTGGAATTGTTAGTTTTTAAATGAAAAATAAATTTCAGAATATTATGCATACCTGCCAACTCAACCCCAATGTGGATTTTATTCCCCTTTAAAACTCCCAGCTCCATAAGGAAAATAAGTTGGTCTACCTTCCACTGGTAGTCCTCTTTCATTGCTTTGTGATTTAAAAGTTTTATTAAGAGATGAGCAGCATAAAGTTTGTCGTTATTTAGCCAATAATCCGCATGTCCATACTGACTTTCAATGATTTCTGTACCGTCAATCACACCTCTATAAACTTCACCTAATTTTTTAACACCTTCTGTGTCCAAACTCCATGTTATATTCTGTATAACTTTGGAATGTGTAATTTTTTCAAAGATGAACGTACCAGGTGAAAATAACAGCTTTTTTAAAAGATGAATTTTGGTATTTGATTCAACTTCCTCTCCTTTTACGACTTCTATTAATTTATCAAAAAATATATTTATACTTTGTTTAAATTCGACGTCTTGATCTTTTCCTTTCAAAGTTTTGAAATGATTCAGGGTCTGATGTATGAAATTTTTGGTCAAAATGTTTGAAATGCGTGACTGGTCTGGTAATTTTTCCAAAATTTTGGTAAATAATTTAATAACGACAAGTAATTTATTTCTATTAGGCATATCCAAACAATAGTCGACATTTTCTAAAAACACATCAAGTGTTTCTGAAGCAGCTATTTCTTCACCAATTATGTCATATACAGGGTGTTGTAAAGTTGCTAGTCTAGGTATTATCTGGAAAATTGAAAATTATAACTAGAATTCTATTAAGTTAAATAAAAGAAGTATTTACCGTCAAAATATTGCTCAGCTTTTTTACATTCTCTTCTGAAAAAATATCAGGATATTGTATAATAGATTTCATACTTTTGGGAAGATTTGGGTATTTTTTCTTCATATAACATAGTAAATATAAAGTATCTACTGTGTAATTTTGTAATGGAATTGAAATTATATCTTTTAAAAGTGGACATAATTCATAAAACTCTTCTTCATCAATCTAAAATAAAGAATAGCACCTTATTAAAATATAGTGTACCAATATATTTATATTATTTGAATCCATTGTTATAAATTGCAAAATAAGGGGTGTTCAACAACTTTTTTGACAGTCTGTTACTCAGAAATGGAATTTGGTACAATGGTAGATATGGGTACCCTGATACTACACCTAAGTTTGCGACCTCGGGGGATTGCCGCTCGAGGGGTGGAGGGATGAAAACTCTGCTGTTACGTTTTAAAACATATTTTGCTATGTTCAATTTTAACGTTAGGCACCAGATGATACGTTAACTTTTTAACCCTTACCTGGGTCTCATTGTAAAAATCCTTATAATAAGAATTCTTACAAGCCTCAGGCCTAGCTCAGATTAAAATGGGTCAGTCAGATTCGTTTAGAATTTACCTTCAAGTCAATGGCAAGGTCTTTAATTAAAAAGACTTAAAAGAATTCAATTAAATTAATTTGGGCGCCATACCTTTAGATCTACAATAAAAGTAAATTTGCCATTAACTTGTCAGTTGAAAGTAAGGAAAATAAAAGAACTTAAATTTTAAAACAATTAATCGGCTTTAATTTAAAATAAATTAATTAATGAGTGATATTTAACAATAAAAAATAAAAATGAAATTTATTGATTTTAACAAGTTTTACGGAAATTATGTTATTTGACTAGATAATGAGTTATTTTTTTTTTTTTTTAATTAAAATTGACTAGTATGAAAATTGTGTGTGGTCCTGGCCGACACTTATCTTGTGTGTTTCCGGATTTCAACGGTCGAACTGGTCCGTGTCGCTCTCTTAACTGTAGCTCAGCCTACGATGACTTTCTAGACATATTCTGCAGTTCTATAAGTAGCTCAGCCTACGATGACTTTCTAGACATATTCTGCAGTTCTAGATGTAGCTCAGCCTATGATGACTTTCTTTATACTACGAGTTCTTAGTTATCAGGGCCAGTTCCTTACTGGGCCAGTTCCTTAGTTAGTTCGGAAACACTTAAACAAAGCACTAAACTAAACCAATCGGTTCGTTTGGCTGCAAAATTGAAAAGAATTAAGCAAACGAGAAACGTGATGCATTCCACATCAACAGGTGGCCAGGCGTGCGCACAACCTCTGACAGTAATTATTGATTTTTAGAGATGGCTTACCATTGGTTGAGCCATAGAATGTCTCTAGACAGAGACAATTTCCCCGAATTAACATAATATCCATATTTCCAAATACGAGGGGCACTCAAAAAGTATTAGAATATAATGGAATATTTGAACTAATTAAATATTGTAATTATTGAAAGGGAGTGACGATTACAACGTAACACTGCGTCGCGACGCTTTTCGGAAAATAGCGCCGTTGTGGTAAGTGCTATTGAAAAAAAGTTAAAATGAAATATGTACGGAACAAAATCGTGCACAATTTCGACCCCTACATTTTTTTGTCTGCGACCAATAGTTTCCGTTCTACGACGCGCCAAAGTAGGAGGTTGATTTGCAATGTTCAACAAAATGAGAATTTCAGCATGGATTAAGACGAAGATCGCCATGAAACAATTATGTAATATTTTATTTTCTAAATGAGTAATGATTGATTTCTGAGTCTGCAAATGCCCGATTTAATACATCTGGTCGTATATAATAAAAGTTATGATGTTTTGAAATGCGCCCCTACATACACCGATATAAAGATTTTGTAATTATCAGAACCTACAGTCAATATTTCCTTTATTGTCAATAAGTAAACCTAAATTTTTTGCCTCTTCAGAAATATTAATATTCACACCAACCAATTCTAGTTTTAAAAAGCTTTCAATAGTATCTCGTTTAGCTTTACTGCAAAATAAAACAGCAGTCGTTTTTAATGGGTTAATGGTCAAATTATGATCTTTAGAATACTGCGTAATCAAAGTTAGGTCAGTATTGACTGGGTTTGTTGCGTTATCAACGTCAAAAGGATCAAAAATATGTATTAATTGTATGTCATCAGCATAGAGTTGTAATAAGCTATTATTTATTTTAGGTAGGTCTGATGTGTATATAATACATGGGAAGGACATATTGACAAGGTGGTCTCAAGGATGAGCAGTTTTTGTTTTATCTTTAGACAACTTCACAATACAACTTCTCTAAATGTATTAAAGTTAGCCTATTTTGGGCTGGTACAGTCATTAACCTACGGACTAACTTTTTGGGGAAACGCTTCATATACTGTGAAAGTATTTATAACTCAGAAGAAAATAGTGAGATGTATAACTGGTTCCCACTATAGGGCATCTTGCAAGAATTTGTTTAAATCTTTGGAAATATTAACATTGCCATGTCTCTATATACAGGGTGTTTCAAAAAGGTATGTTATAAATTATACCACGTATTCTTGGGTCAAAAATAGAACGATTAAACCGTACTTACCTATATACAAAAGTGCACCTAAAAATAGTTATAAGATAGTATAAGATAAAAATTTAAATGAATTTTTGTAACATTGCTCTTAAACCGTTTGACATTTTTTTCATGAAATTTTATATGACGTGTTGTAATACCATGACTAACAAAATCGAAGTAGAGGCAAAATATTTTTTTTTTATTTTTGTAGGATTTTGGAGGGTGTCACCGCCCCTTTCTCTATTCAACTTTTTTGTAGTATAAAATTTAATTACAAATGAAACGCCACTGGAATCCAACATCCATTTGAAAACTTTTTTGTCTCTTAGTATTTGTTTGTAAAAAGTTTAGTTTAGACGATACAGCCATTTGAAATGACAACTTAAAAATATTCAATGGAAATTCTACGTATGAAAAATATCAAAATCAAGTTAATTTTTAAATTACAAACTAATTTCATCAAAATAAAAACATTTAATTTAACAGGTGTTCAAAATTACATTCTCCTCCTGTATACACTTACTACATAGTTTTAACAATGAAAATCGAATTTTGATATTTTTGCATACGTATAATTTACATTGAATATGTCATTTCAAATGGCTGTATCGTCTAAACTAAACTTTTTACAAACAAATACTAAGAGACAAAAAAGTTTCCAAATGGATGTTGCATTTCAGTAGCGTTCAATTATTAATAAAATTTTATATTACATAAAAGTTGAAAAGAGAAAGGGGCGGTGACACCCTCCAAAATCCTACAAAAATAAAAAAAAATATTTTGCCTCTCCTTCGATTTTGTTAGTCATGGTATTCCAACACGTCATATAAAATTTCATGAAAATATGTCAAACGGTTTAAGAGCAATGTTAAAAAAATTCATTTAAATTTTTATCTTATACACCCTGTAACTATTTTTGGGTGCACTTTTGTATATAGGTAAGTACGGTTTAATCGTTCTATTTTTGACCCAAGAATACGTGGTATAATTTATGACATACCTTTTTGAAACACCCTGTATATTTGACCACATTAAACATTAAGAAAAATGAATCTCAATATATTCGAAATAACATGATTCACGAACACAACACATGGAGAGGCAATGACATAAGACTGCCATATTCCCGGCATACCGTTGGGCAGGGTTCTGCAGGTTATCAAGGCATCATCTATTTTAAAACCAAAAACTTTTTAAATATTTATTTGAAAATGTGTTTTATTCTGTAGAAGAATTCCTGCAGATTTCTTAATCATTTTAATTTAATTTTAGATTTATATATAAATATTTTTTATTCTTATTATATTAATTTTAGACATATGTTGTAAATTGAAGTGCTATATATTGTAGTTCTATTTTTTTTTTTGACAAGTCTCATAAATGTACATTTTGTTGTGTATTCAAACATATGTATCTGTACATTTGATAGATGAATAAAGGATTCATTTATTTATAGTAATGAGCCCAAAATAGACCCTTGAAGTACACCTGACACAATATTTTTAGACATTGTCCACAGACACTCGCTGGGACTGCTTCCATAGGTATGACTTAAAAAAAGATAACATATGATCACAACTATATTTGAGTTTTGCACACAGCAAATCGGGGTCAATTAAATCAAACACTTTGGAGTAGTCTGAGCTACGGGTGTGAAGTTATCCACAACCACAAATGTACACGGAGAAAAATATAACTCTATCGTAATAGTCATATAATTTGGTTCAAATTACCTGTAGATGCTTTTCATTTGTAGATTTCAATTGGGGAGGTTTCAATACACAGCACCCATACCCGCAATTAACTTTTACTTTGTCTCAGGGGGTGCAATTGGGGGTGAAATTTAAAAAAAAATCATAGAAGCCACAAATGGCTTTGTACACCTTTCTGCTTGGGATATGTTATGTAGTTTACTCTTTTCTTCATCCCTGATACCATGCTGGAGTTTGTCGAGCCGTCTGAGGGGGTGCAATTGGGGATGAAATTAAAAAAAAAAAAACATAAAAGCCACAAATAGCTTTGTACGCCTTTCTGCTTGGGATATGTTATGTAATTTTCTCTTTTCTTCATCCCTGATAGCATGCTGGAGTTTGTCGAGCCGTCTGAGGGGGCACAATTGGGGATGAAATTAAAAAAAAATCATAGAAGCCACAACTGGCTTTGTACACCTTTCTGCTTGGGATATGTTATGTAGTTTACTCTTTTCTTCATCCCTGATACCATGCTGGAGTTTGTCGAGCCGTCTGAGGGGGTGCAATTGGGGATGAAATTAAAAAAAAATAAAATAAAAGCCACAAATGGCTTTGTACGCCTTTCTGCTTGGGATATGCTATGTAATTTTCTCTTTTTTTCATCCATGATATCATGCTGGAGTTTGTCGAGCCGTCTGAGGGGGTGCAATTGGGGGTGAAATAAAAAAAATCATAGAAGCCACAAATGGCTTTGTACACCTTTCTGCAAGCGATATGTTATGAAGATAGCTATTTTCTTTATGCCTGATACCATGCTGGAGTTTGTCGAGCCGTCTGAGGGGGTGCAATTGGGGGTGAAATTAAACAAAAAATCATAGAAGCCACTACTGGCTTTGTACACCTTTCTGCTTGGGATATGTTATGTAGTTTGCTCTTTTCTTCATCCCTGATAGCATGCTGGAGTTTGTCGAGCCGTCTGAGGGGGTGCAATTGGGGGTGAAATTAAACAAAAAATCATAGAAGCCACAACTGGCTTTGTACACCTTTCTGCTTGGGATATGTTATGTAGTTTACTCTTTTCTTCATCCCTGATACCATGCTGGAGTTTGTCGAGCCGTCTGAGGGGGTGCAATTGGGGATGAAATTAAAAAAAAAAAAATAAAAGCCACAAATAGCTTTGTACGCCTTTCTGCTTGGGATATGTTATGTAATTTTCTCTTTTTTTCATCCATGATATCATGCTGGAGTTTGTCGAGCCGTCTGAGGGGGTGCAATTGGGGGTGAAATAAAAAAATCATAGAAGCCACAAATGGCTTTGTACACCTTTCTGCAAGCGATATGTTATGAAGATAGCTATTTTCTTTATGCCTGATACCATGCTGGAGTTTGTCGAGTCGTCTGAGGGGGTGCAATTGGGGGTGAAATTAAACAAAAAATCATAGAAGCCACAACTGGCTTTGTACACCTTTCTGCTTGGGATGTTATGTAGTTTACTCTTTTCTTCATCCCTGATACCATGCTGGAGTTTGTCGAGCCGTCTGAGGGGGTGCAATTGGGGATGAAATTAAAAAAAAACATAAAAGCCACAAATAGCTTTGTACGCCTTTCTGCTTGGGATATGTTATGTAGTTTGCTTTTTTCTTCATCCCTGATAGCATGCTGGAGTTTGTCGAGCCGTCTGAGGGGGTGCAATTGGGGGTGAAATTAAACAAAAAATCATAGAAGCCACAACTGGCTTTGTACACCTTTCTGCTTGGGATATGTTATGTAGTTTACTCTTTTCTTCATCCCTGATATCATGCTGGAGTTTGTCGAGCCGTCTGAGGGGGTGCAATTGGGGATGAAATTAAAAAAAAAATCACAGAAGCCACAAATGGCTTTGTACACCTTTTTACTTGAAATATGTTATGAAGATAGCTATTTTCTTTATGCCTGATACCATGCTGGAGTTTGTCGAGCCGTCTGAGGGGGTGCAATTGGGGATGAAATTAAAAAAAAATCACAGAAGCCACAAATGGCTTTGTACACCTTTTTACTTGAGATATGTTATGAAGATAGCTATTTTCTTTATGCCTGATACCATGCTGGAGTTTGCCGGGCCGTCTGAGGGGGTGCAATTGGGGGGGAAATAAAAAAATCATAGAAGCCACAAATGGCTTTGTACACCTTTCTGCAAGCGATATGTTATGAAGATAGCTATTTTCTTTATGCCTGATACCATGCTGGAGTTTGTCGAGCCGTCTGATGGGGTGAAATTGGGGGTGAAATTAAACAAAAAATCATAGAAGCCACTACTGGCTTTGTACACCTTTCTGCTTGGGATATGTTATGTAGTTTGCTCTTTTCTTCATCCCTGATAGCATGCTGGAGTTTGTCGAGCCGTCTGAGGGGGTGAAATTGGGGATGAAATTAAAAAAAAATCACAGAAGCCACAAATGGCTTCGTACACCTTTTTACTTGAGATATGTTATAAAGATAGCTATTTTCTTTATGCCTAATACCATGCTGGAGTTTGTCGAGCCGTCTGAGGGGGTGCAAATGTAGTTTGGTAGGTGTACAAAGCCATTTGTGGCTTCTATGATTTTTTTATTTCACCCCCAATTGCACCCCCTCAGACGGCCCGGCAAACTCCAGCATGGTATCAGGCATAAAGAAAATAGCTATCTTCATAACATATCTCAAGTAAAAAGGTGTACAAAGCCATTTGTGGCTTCTGTGATTTTTTTTTAATTTCATCCCCAATTGCACCCCCTCAGACGGCTCGACAAACTCCAGCATGGTATCAGGCATAAAGAAAATAGCTATCTTCATAACATATTTCAAGTAAAAAGGTGTACAAAGCCATTTGTGGCTTCTGTGATTTTTTTTTAATTTCATCCCCAATTGCACCCCCTCAGACGGCTCGACAAACTCCAGCATGCTATCAGGGATGAAGAAAAGAGCAAACTACATAACATATCCCAAGCAGAAAGGTGTACAAAGCCATTTGTGGCTTCTATGATTTTTTGTTTAATTTGACCCCCAATTGCACCCCCTCAGACGGCTCGACAAACTCCAACACGGTATCTGGGATGAAGAAAAGAGCCAACTAGATAACATATCGCAAGCAGAAATGTGTACAAAGCTATTTGTGGCTTCTGTGATTTTTTTAAATTTCATCCCCAATTGCACCCCCTCAGACGGCTCGACAAACTCCAGCATGGTATCAGGGATGAAGAAAAGAGTAAACTACATAACATATCCCAAGCAGAAAGGTGTACAAAGCCATTTGTGGCTTCTATGATTTTTTTTTAAATTTCACCCCCAATTGCACCCCCTGAGACAAAGCAAAAGTTAATTGCGGGTATGGTTGCTGTGTATTGAAACCTCCCCAATTGAAATCTACAAATAAAAAGCCTCTACAGGTAATTTGAACCAAGTTATATGACTATTACGATAGAGTTATATTTTTCTCAGTGTACATTTGTGGATGTGGATAACTTCACACCCGTGTCTGAGCTAACTAAAATGACACCCACCTTTTTATCCATAGCTCTTATAATATTATCATTCAAATTTAGCATTGCAGAAGTGGTGCTATGACCCTTACGAAAGCCTGATTGTTCACTAGGTAAAATGCTGTTTGCTGAAACATATTCAAACAATTGAGAGTATACCACTCTTTCAAGAATTTTAGAGATAACTGGCTTATTTATTTGCATGGTTCTCTATAGGATTTGATGGATGCCGTATTAGTAGAAATTTAATCTCTGTTATTATGACATCCAGATCATTAAAAAAATCACCATATGTTACCGTTTTCGATGATGGTGGGTGGGGTTTTCCTCACCTGTAAATCAAATGGCACCATCAATCATCTTTAAGTCGCCCCGGAGCCCCATGGCAAATAATAATAGCTGTTCCTTTCCCCAGACAAGCTCAGCTTTTGGGGTTCAAATTCACTCGTAAGGGGTTGAATTAGGGAGAGTATTATTATTATTTATGAAGGGATCACAGCAATATCCCACAGATAGTTTCTTACAAAATATTGACAGACAAAAATATAAATCCAAAATTGAATAAACTATAGCATAAAAACTTCATTTAGGAAAGACCAATTTGTCTGAGATAAATGAGCACATAGATGAGGAAAATTTGCTATTCTAAAGTTGTACCAAACACCATTACAATTAAACTGTATAATTGTATTGAAAAATATAATATTAAGAGATTTTATTTTTTCTGTTAATGGCATGTGGTAATCTTGTAGTTGACCGGTCTAGAAATGCGCATATTCACACCACTCTGAACTGAAGTCTAAAATTTGAGTTTTGTAATTATCACTATTGAAAAGTATTATTGACATTAAAAGTAACTATGGTATTACTTGAAAATCTTCAGAACATTTTTTTTATTTTTATGGGATTTTTAATCGACGTAAAAATTGGTAAATATATGATTAAAAGTAAAATAGTTGTTTCAATCTGCTTATTCCCTTGTTCCAAATAATTAAATATAACCTGGCAACTATATGTGAGGATTCCAACTGTCAGAACTAGCCCAAACAGGAATCATGCATACAGGCACATTTACAGACCCTTTAACTACAAGATTACCTGTCATGCCAACAATTAGCATTTACTGTAAGCCAAAATGTTTGCCTGCTGTTTATATTTTTTAACCTACCTTTTCAAAAGATTGAATAATAAATTCATAAGCTAATAATCCTTGATAACTTCTTTCTTTGCATGCACTCAAAATAGATGTTATAACTTTGATTTTATCTTTATCTGTAGCATCCTTCCAAATATTAGACCGAACAATAGCACCATTTGCCAGAATTTGTCCTGTTAAGACGTCAGCATTTTCCTATAACCGTAAATAAATTAATTTTATCATATGTGAAGAATTCTTGATTCTAGATTACCGATTTAGAATTGCTACCAGCTGTGTGCAAGTGTTTCTGCACAAGAATGAATATTTCTTCAACGCTAATTTTCTCGACATTTAAAAGTGCTACTAAGATAGTAAAAAATCCGGCTCTGGCGTCACTTGTGGATGATCCTAAACCTCTGATTATTCGGCCCAGTACATATTTTATTTCGATTTCCTAAAATTTTTAATATTAGCATGCTTTATGGCGACTGTCATAACCTTACTTTTTCCTCACTGTCGTTCTGATTTAGATGTTTCAATATAATTAAACTACTTTTCAAGCGCACTTTTTCCTGCTGATTTGTTAAAAAGGCAAATTGGTCTAAAACAGTTTGTTTTACTGTTTTAATTTTCGTTTGGACTTTCAAATTTTCCATTTTGTATTCCGTTCCGTTGACTGACAATTGACATCGCATTGAAAATTGACATTGACGATTGACGTAAATTATAAATTCCCCACCAGGGCTGGTATATCTAAGGGGGGTCGCGACATAGACCCAGTAAATGGATGAGGGGGTGACTGAGGCTAGGGGGGAAATAGTAGTCAGCTTAAGTTGGCAACACTTTTCTGATGTTCGTTTGAACGAGCATCGTGCATAATAATGTCAATATGGTGCAAGTGGAATGAACCACTGTTTTCCTCGTAGTCGTAGTAATGTCGAATTAAAACTAAAAACATTTTGTACTTTTTCATATACCAAATTATGCAATTTGTTTCCACTTTATTTTAATGTTACATGAATAAGTACATGCGTTTGTGCTGTGGTAAATAAGTGTTCATGTGAAAATTATATCTTAAACTACATTGTGACTGCACGCATCTCGAAAGTGAATGCTGTAAATCCAGGATTTAAATCTTTCATAATGTTGCTTGGGATAAATTGTAAAAAAGGTGTTGGACAAAACCATTATTAAAGAGAAATTAGTTATCATCAATAAGATATTTTGTAGTAGCTGGTCTCTATAAATAATAAACTTGAAAGACTGAATTAGTAGTCACTTTTACACTAGAAGTAAAAACAAAAAAAAAGTGTGGTTGAGACTAATTTGTGTATTTAATAAAAACATATTTAACATAAAAGCAGGTGTTATTTGAAATGTTTTATTTTAGTTTAATAATCTTTATAAATTGTGGGTACATTTGATCTGAATCTTGCAAATACTATAATATGCATATGCTTCTATATGGTTAGTATTGGAGTAGAAGCACAAAAGTTTTGAATAAAAATATATTCTTTAAATACAATATTCACTAGATATGCTAATTTTCTATTTGAAACCATACATGTTTTCTATTATAGTTTTCATACATTTATAATTCTGGAGATACCGAAATGTTTTGCTTGATTACTAAACTTTGGATGTTTTTGTTGTAGTCTGCTGTTAACACTATTGTCCTGAAATATTAAAAAAGCTAGACAAAGGTTTGTCCAACTCTTTTGTCAGCTTTGTTAATCTATGCTACTGTTATTCTGCATGTAGACATTTTTTACTGGAGATTTTCTCTAAGAACTGTATTCAATTTCAAATTTCGGCCAGTTTTACGAAAGTACCTCTGTTGTAAAGGTATTTCAAAGCCATCCTTTGTGAGATGTAGACAACAAATACATGCTAAAATGTATAGAAAACAAATCGCAAGATATTACACAAAATTATTTAAATTAACTAAAAACATACAAATGAAGTGAATAATACCTACCAACAATTTAAAAAGACCTAAAATAAATAGACTTAAGGGACTGGAGCTCTAAAAAAGGGAGCAATAATTTGTTATGCATCATCTATAAGAAAAGTGTCTTCATCTCTTCAATTACCTTTTAAAATAAACAAAACCAAAACAGCACAAAATTGAATGTGATCTACTTTTCTCGACGTATTCTATGTACGTCTGAGATTAATAATTTATTAAATTGAAATATTTTATCCTAAAAAATATGGGCATTTTATAATGGAAATGTCATTTAAAAAATGACAGATTTTTTTTCTTATATTGGTAAACCTGGCGACTACAAGTTGCCACGTTGCCAGATCAATGGCGACTACTATTTCGAAAAAAATGGCGTCCAAAATGGACTCCTATGTCGCGACCCCCTTAGATATACCAGCCCTGTTCCCCACTATCTTTTTAGGTTGGCAAAAAGAACAGTTTCAAAAAATTTTAAGTTTTAATTTGAACTAAAATTTAAATTATACTCAAGTAACAGATCACTTAAATTGTTAAAAAACTTTTATATTGTACACAAATGATAAATTTCATAGTGTATAATAAATTTGACACTATTAATTTGAATCGAAAATGCCTAATTTTAATTAAAAATTGCATATTGTTTTGTTTCTAAATTTAAGTGGCAATTCTTGATTGACATTTGAATTATCTAAAATTATTGCCTTATTTCTTTAAAAAACCAATAATTTTATATGTGTGGACAATGAACGTATTGAAAATTAATTTGTGATAAAAAAAATGACATGACTCCGTTGGCTGCCCTTTTGTGTCTAAAGATGCAGCGCGCATGTCTCTTTATATAAAACATGGCCGGTCGTAGCGGTTATGACGATAGAGACAACAGGTAAAAATTAAAATTATCACTAAACCAGTGAACAATTATCAAGTGTTTAAAAGTGTTTTTAAAGAAGAAATGGTACCAAGTGTTGAGAGTTGAAAAAATTTGAAGATATTATGTGATTTTACTTGTTTTGACATAGAAGCGGCAATGCTGTATTCTGATGCACATGCTTAAATATCTTTCTGAAGAAATATAAAAGTATTTCTGTTAATACACCTTGTCTGAGTATGCCACTACAATACCTTTTCAGTTATTGGTTATGTTGAAGTAAAATTAATTTCTAAGTATTGGATCATAATACTGCAGTACATGCTAACCAGTGCGGTAATATGTAATTGTGAATTATTTAACTGGAAACAACGTAAGATGCTATCAATTGTACTGATTAGGGAATGGAATATATAATTTGTATCATTTAGATAAATAAAACCCTTTGGGTGAAGCAAATTTTCAAACAATGTTGGGTAAAGCTGTCAGTTATTTTATTTTCAAATACTTTATAGAAGTACTTTTTGAAATTATTTAGTTATTATCCATAATTTTGCAAACATTTAACGTAAATGTTCTAAATGCATATTTAATAACCTTTTGCATTGTTCTATATTTTTTTAAAAGAAATTTTACAATATTTTATCATAAAGGTACCTTGAGTCATCCTGATTTAGTTTTAAGCATTAAAGTAGACACTAGAGATATTGGATATGTCTATAACGTCAGCCACTAATAGTGACAAAGTAATTAGAGGCAAATACATTCCATACTAAAATAATACTACAAACCTGAAGTTTACATATTTCTAACCTCATTTTAAAAACTTTTAATTATAGTTCATCTTTGTTGTTGTCTATAACAGTATATGGAAGAGCTATTAGAAATGCCCATATTAGAAGATTTAGATGATGATAATATTAAACATTAAAAAACTTTGAAATGATATGAATGTCAGTGAGTGCATACAGAAGCTAATAAAGTCTGCACTATTTGCTGCCCTTAAACGTTCCTGATAATTAAAGGCGAGCATTATCTTTTATAAAGTAAATTCTAGAACTTAAATGATCTGTGCATGTTCAAATGTCAAAATAAGAGCTGCTAATAGTGACTGACCTTGAATGAATTTGTAATATATCTCTAGGTATTAACATAAACATAGATTTTTAAGGATTTTAGAACAAAACTGTAATTCGAGCTGTAATCATATTAGAATACCTACATCATTAAAAATAATAAAAAAAAGATATGTCGTAGCTGCTTCTAAAATTGCTCTGTTAACTATCTCACAATCATTATTAATAAAAATACTCAGAAAAAGAGTTTAGAATTTCTATGGTTTAAAGTTAGGCCAATAACTTAACCATACTTTTAAAAATTGTTTTCAGTTCTTGTCACTCATGTACACAATTTTATTTTTGACATACATTTAAGCATTACGTTGCATTTTATTTAACTTCGCTATAGTAATATTTATGCTTATGTTATTCTGTATAAACATTATACATTGAAATGTATTTAATTTTTTTTGTTATTGCTTAAAACTAAATCAGGCTGACTTAATGTACTTTAAGATTTTTAAATACCTAATATTGAAATCTCAAACTGTATCTGGGGATACTTTATACATATTTTTAACCCTAAGCTAAATAATTCATATAAGTCCTTAGCTCTTCTCTATCAACCCACCACTAATAAGATTAGCCTAAACAAATAATCAGATTCAATAATTCCAAATGTCATTTAAAAACTAGAATCAAAAAACCAACCAGTTTCTCTAACATGTTTATGAATATTTTTAATAGGAAATCATATTCTATTTTAATAAAATGAAAATGTCAGCTTAAATCTAATTTTAGCAATTTAGAAATTAATATGGACACATGCATATTACTGTCCTAGAAGTTGGTTCCACAGTATTCTAGGATGACTTAATATTTATGACAGGGTTCGAAAATAATATTTATTTGGCTTTGAGACATACATATTTACAATATTTTAAAAAGGTTAAAAAATGTATAAACATATAAGACCTATTAGCCTTGTCAACACATACAATTTTAAAAAGTAGAGACATGCTACAATTGAGTTTAAAATAAAGTAAAAATTAAAAATAGTATACAATAGGGCAAAAACATTAGACAATAATTATAATAAAGAGATACCATTACGGATCACCAAGTATCATTCATAAATTCTGCATAGGAATAATATTTTTTGGATGAAAAATATGCAAAAAGCTTATTTTTGAATACATTAAAGATTTCTTCATTACCATTGAGTATATCAACATGCAACACCTCTGTAGATTTCGGAATTCTGTCCAACTGAGCGTCTAGAGAAAGACTGCTGTAGATATTTGTAATTGCGTGTGTTATAATTGTGTGAGTGTCTATGATCTAATTCCTGTTTTATACAAAGATGGAAGGGTTAGGATTTTAAAGTCATGAAAAAGTTGTTTGCAGCTAGTTGTTCTTGAAAACCCAGCCATGTATCTTAAAACTTTTTTTTTGTACACAGAAGGCTCGCTCCAGATGAGATGAGCAGCCCCAAAAAATTAGACCGTATGAGATAATTGATTTAGCCAAACCAAAATATGTTAATTTTAAGACATCGGGATTTACAGTGTTTTTTAACTGCCTCATTAGAAAACATACACTACTTAGTTTATTTGATACATGATCTACATGGTTCTCCCACGTTAACTTGCTGTCCAGAATTAGACCTAATTTGATTGTATCAATGATTGATGATTTAGTTTAATGAGGTAGCTGAAATCGTTTGTTATATTTTTTGATAGAAAGGTCATGATTTCAGATTTTTTCACATTATCATTTAAGCTGTGTGAAATACAATAACTATAAAATTCATGTGCAGCACTATTAGCAATATATTGAAGTTCAGATGCATTTTTTTGCTGATGTTCCAAAAGTTGTGTCATTTGCATATATAATTTTGGTACTTTGACTTGTACAAGATAGAGCTAAGTCATTAATAAAAACTAAAAATAAAACAGGGCCCAATATTGAGCCCTGCGGTACTTCCGTTGTCACATTTTGACTATTTGATTTACTGTATCTGATGGTTATAACTTGTTTACGGTTGTTTAAATATGACTGTATCCACTTATTTGGCGGGCCCCTTATACCTATTCGGTACAATTTATCTACTAGCAGTCGATGGTCAATTGAGTCAAAGTCTCGTGAGAGGTCGAAGTATAAGTTAATATTTAATTCCCTGTTATTTAAAGATGTGTAAACAAAAGCCCATAACTCCCCTATAGTACTAGATGTTGACTTATTTCTGCAAAAAACATGTTGAAATTAACTCAAAAGTCTGTTAAGTTCTAGAAATTTAATGAACCTGTTATTGTAGGTCATTTCGAATACTTTAGCCAGTTGACTTTGAATGCAGATGTTCCTATAGTTTGCCATGTCATTTACAGACCCTTTATTTTTATATATAGGAATGGATTTTAATTTTTTTAATATGCTAGGATAGTCACCACATAAAAAAGACTCGTTTATAAGGTAGGACATAGGTACACTAATATCTTCAGCAATAAGAGACAATATTGTTCCATCTATTTCATCTATACCGGCAGATTTTTACAAGTTGATTTCTGTTATTTCCTCTTGGGTAGTTGGAGTTAAAAATAGAGTGCTTATAGAAAAATCTTGAACCCTTGCTTCACTATAATTTGGTAGAAGATAGTCTACATCAGTAAACTGATTATTAAAAGCATTACATATATTTTGTACACCAAAATTTTGTTGCCTTGACAATTTAGCATCTCGATGGGTAATTTTTTTTACTTATTTTCCTTTTGCCTCATTTACAATTCTCCAACATTCTTTTGTTGAATTTTTTTGCATTAATTACCCTTTTATTATTATAAGAAAGTTTTGCTGATTTTACTTTATTATCATACATTATTTTGAGTTTTTTATAGCTATCCCTAATAGTATCATTATTACTAGTTATGTATGTACTATGTAATTCACACAGCATCTCATGCAGTGCACTTAGTTCTGTGTTATAAAATTATTTTTGTGTCGTTTAGGTTTAACTTTTTTAAATGTAAAAGCGTTGTTGAAATGGTATAAAAAAGTCGAAGAAAAGCTGTTAGATTTGTTATTGAACTCAGATGAGTTATACATGTCTTCCCATGACTCGTTAATAATTATATTTTTAAAGATATGCCCTAACAAAAGATTGTGTAGTTTCTACCTGATTTGTTATTTGCAAGTTGAATTCACAGAGTTGTAGTGAATGGTCTGATAGGAAACTATTTTGAACAATAACATTTTTATATTCAATATTTGTAAAAAGTGGATCAACTAAAGTCGAGCTAGTACTGGTGACCCGTGTTGGTTCTGTAACAATGTTGTATAGACCAAATTCCCAAAAAATATTCATAAGTAATTTTGTTTCATTACTATTAATAATAATAATCATGCAATTAATATAAATATCATATTACATGATATACAGTGTGTCTACTTAAGTTGGAACCATACGGAAAACTTTTTTATTATTGGTTTTGTGAAAAAATGTATTCGTGATAAAAAGTTCTGCATGGTACGAAACTTAAAATGCAACCATCAGATATCAATTTTTTTAAGCTGTATATGAGGTTTGCCAAAAGATATGAATTTTACTCAAGAGTACAGTACCTTTGTTTTCAAATAAAGAAGAATGTTATGAAGTAAAGTTATTTTGAATTAAAAGTTATATTCAAATATGCAATTACAGCCATTTAGCATTAAAATTCAGGTTTGGTGGTTAATTAATTTATAACTACAAATAATTTATAATGTAAAACGTAAATAATTACCTAACTTGAATTTTCATGCTAAATGACTAATTGCATATTTGAGTATAACTTTTAATTCAAAATAACTTTACTTTATAATGTTCTTCTGTATTGTAAAAAATAAATGTACTTTAGTTCTGAGTAAAATTCATATTTTTAGACAAACCTTGTATACAGCTTAAATAAATTGATAGGTCTGGCAAAGGAACTACTGATATTTTTCTTGTGAATTTTGAACTTGTATTACACAAATTACTAGAAAAGTATGACAAATTAATAATATTAGGCGATTTTAATATTAATTTTAAATCACAATCTGAAATTCTTTTCAATTTTGAATGTATGTTGATGTCTTTTGGTTTATCTTTTACATGATGATACTAGAGTTACAGCTTCATCTTCAAATTGTATAGACAACATAATTACAAATTTGGCAAACGAATTGTTTACTTCCGGTGTATTTGAACCCTCCTTTTCAGACCACCGTGCCCAATACATTTCTGTGAGTTACAATAATAGTCTAACAAAAAATAAAAATCAAACATGTCTTAAAAGGTGTATTACAGATAATAGAATAAAGATGTTTAAACAGTCTCTAAGTAGTATAGATTGGAGTATTTTTTGTAATAAAGGTAATGATGTAATTTTTTTGTCAACTTTTCTTATCAATACTTACCATAACTTAAGCATGAAATATTTTCCCTTGAGACAATGTAAGAATAATTTAAGAAATTCACCAGTAATATGGTTTAACAACAGTCTAAAATCTCTAAGAAACGATCTCTCAACCATCAAACTAATAACAGACGTTACAAAAGATCCAAATGACATAAAAACATACAAGAAACTCAAAAGCGAGTACAATGAAAAATTTAAATCAACAAAAAAACTGGCCTATGATGAATATATTACTCGAGCAGACAATAAAGCCAAGGCATGTTGGCAAATAATCAATTTCGAAAGAAACACATTCTTTAATACAACTGCTGCAAATATTATAAGATCTCTTCCTAATGTTTCAAATGCCGAACTTCTGAGTTTTAAACATTTTTCTATGCCCTGTAGCTCATTTTTCTTCCGCCCTGTTCTTGAGTCTGAAGTTTTTGACGCAATTACTTCTCTAAAAAATTCTAAATGTGTTGACACTCACGAACTCGATAGTAAAATTTTAAAAGAGACTTGCAATATTATAATAAAACCGTTTACTGAACTGATTAATTTAATTTTATCCATTGGTATATTTCCTGAAGTACTTAAATACTCTAAAGTATTACCAATTTTCAAAAAAGGTGATGTCTCGAAAATTGATAACTATCGTCCCATAAGTATTGTTTCAATATTTGGTAAAGTTATTGAAAAAATTATTAAAAAAACAATTATGTAAGTATTTTGAATTAAACAACTTCTTCAGCAACTCCCAATATGGTTTTAGACGCTCTCGCTCTACTACACAGGCTGTTCTCAATGTTGTGAATGATGTAGTTGAGGAACTTGAGCAGGGAAATCACACAGCAGTAATGTTGTGCGATCTGTCAAAGGCTTTCGACTGCGTCTCTCATGATATTCTTCTGGAAAAGCTAAGCTTTTATGGAGTTAGGGGAATTCCGCTTGCACTAATAAATTCATATATCAGTAACATACAACAAGCTGTGATGAGTAATGGTGTTCTGTCTGACTTTCAGGCTGTAAGGCAAGGGGTTCCACAAGGTTCTGTCCTGGGTCCCCTTTTATTTATTGTTTATGTTAACGATCTAAGCCGTTTCATGCTACCTAATAAATCAGTTTAATTTGCTGATGATACAACAATCATCTTAACAGACAAAAATAATAAAAATTTAATTTCTTCGTTTGATGAAATTGCGGACTAGGAGTTAGATTACAGAACGTCTGCAACTTTGCAGATCTGCAACTTTGCAAATCTGCAAATATGGCGGACTTACAAATGCAAGTATTCCAAAAAATATCTGCAAATTCGCAATATTTATTGTGGTTTATTACTCCCAACAACACTAAACCCAAATTTGGAATACGAAAACTTGATACTTGCATGTGTAAGTCAGTCATATTTGCAGATTTTCAAAGTTGCCGCTATATTTGCATATCTGCAAAGTTGCAGACGTTCTGTAATCTCACCCAAAGCAAACACATGGTTCTCAACCAACAAATTAAAACTTAACAGTGAAAAAACTCAAAACATGCAGATATCTGCCAATAATCAAATTATCTCAAAATGTGAAACAAAAAACGTAAAATTACTTGGTATTACATTGGATAACAAACTCAATTGGTCGGCCCACATTAATCAGTTAAAGAAAAAACTTTCTAGTTTTTTGTTTATTCTTCTGCAGTTGAAAAAACTTACCAACTTAAATACCCTCAAAACTACGTATTTCTCTCTCTTTCACTCACATGTCAACTAGGGTGTACCACTTTGGGGAAACTCTTCTCAATCTATTCAAATCTTCCGGATGCAAAAAAAACTATCAGAATTATGGCTAACATTGGATTCAGAAAACATTGTCAACCACACTTTATTAAATTTAAAATTATGCCACTAACTACTTTATATCTACATCATACACTTATTGAAATTCATAGGAAACAGTCTGTTTTGCTGAAACAGTCCGATATTCATAATTACAAGACACGTAATTCACATTGTATTAGAAATACTCGTTTTAGGTTATGTCTATCTGAAATAAATTCCCTAAATTATAACTTATTTAACATATTACCGCAGAACTTTAAAAATTTAAGTAATAATGCTTTTAAAAAAACATTAAAAAAATATCTATTGAGACATTTTTTTACTCTGTCAATGATTATGTAGCTTGATAAGTACCTAATAATTATTGTTTTTATTTAGATTGTTCAAATTCTGGTACTCTAATAATTATTGTTTTATTTATATTGTTCAAATTCTGTTACCACCTATGACTTGCTATAAACATAATGACTTATGTAAAATAGTTAATAAAATTATTCTATTCTATCTGATGGTTGCATTTTAAGTTTTGGACCATGCAGAACTTTATCAATAATACATTTTTTCACAAAACCAATAATAAAAAAGTTTTCCATATGGTTCCAATTTAAGTAGACACACTGTATATTTGATATATAACCGATATATATCATTTTTAAAATTTAATTAATTGAAAAACGGTATTGTTTCTTGCACAAACTATATTTGAAATTTTAATTTAATTTTAAAATAAATGCATTGAAAATTTTACATAGGGACGCAATTCCAATATTGCCAATGATTAACTCTGTCAAAATTTGAATAAGGGCCAATATTTTAATTTAACTTTCACTTTGGCATAATTTTCATAATAATATATTACAAATGTTTATTGGTACTTTTTAAATGCCCAATTGTGTAAGATCCCTTTTCATTTTCCAATATCAGATTTTAATGTTCAAGGGATTTTCCTGGCATAACCAATCTCGTGATTAAAATCACTGGCATTGATGTAGGTGTTACAAATCATTAATTTCATGTTTTAATTTCATTCTCTCATAAATTAGTGTCATAAAATGTTTATTAAGATTGCAAATTTTTATCTTTCTCCAAACAGCTGATGATAATGACTCATATATACTATTTTCAATTAATATAATTTTTATTAATTAATTAATCAATTAATATAATTTTTGTTTTCTTCAAAAACTCCAAAAGTAGTATCAAAGTCAATACATTCATTTGGGTATTGAATTATCTTCTTTTATATATAATTTATCTTTATCATTAAATATATTTTGTCACATTGCTATATATAGATAAAGTATGTAATACAGAATTCTTTATTCTACATATTTGATGAATTATCTTTCTACCTATTAATATAGATAAATATATTGAGCTCTTATCTATAAATTAATTTAAGTATCATTTTTGAAGGGGTCATTGAATTGAAAATTTATAGAGATCACAACCAATAACTTTTACTGAAAATACTTGTATTTCTTTATGCAATTTTTTTTTGTTATTCCTACTTACTGCTTCATACATACTTCCACAAAAACTATGCTCAGATAATTCAAAAGTTGCTGTGTACGGATACTTTTTTGCCTTCTACAAGATGAATGGAGGAGTTTCACGAAGCTCAACTTTAACCACATAACCACAATATATTTATGGGTTTGCGGAAAATAGAAAATACCATGAGAGTTTCTAGATTACCGAACTATAAATTCCAGAGATTATTTATCTACTGTACTGTTTTTTATGAATAATCAGTTTCTGTCTGAAGAAAATGATTTTAGGTCAATTTTTTATTGAATTGTAACCTAAAGATTTGGAATACAGCTTATTATAGGTTTACATTTATATTATCACTTCTTAACTTCAGTTTTCAGTCACTATTTGACACTACCAAAGTGTGATAACCATTCTATAGTGGTATAATTGTTCTTTACTTCAATATTCACCATGAAAATGTGTTATATTATTTTCAGCTGGTCAACTGCTTCTTAAAATATTGACTAATTCATTTTAAAGACTTATATTATTATTTTTCCAGAGATTTCGGAGGTGGTGGTCGCAGCCGCGGAGGTGGTGGTGGCGGCGGTGGAGGTGGCAGGAAGCCCCTCCCCACTGAACCACCTTTCACAGCTTACGTAGGCAACCTTCCATTGGGCGTTATTCAAGGTGATATCAATGAGATGTTCGCCAGCTTAAACGTCAAGAACATAAGACTTGTCAAAGACAAAGAGACAGACCGGTTTAAAGGTTTTGGTTATGTAGAATTTGAAACTTTGAAGGATCTAGAACAGGCCATAGCAATGAATGGGGACATTGAAGTCGACGGAAATTTAGTTAAAATTGATGTGGCAGATGGTATGATTTGGCAGTTTTTTATTCTTTTATCAAGCCTTAGATTAATCTAAACATTTTTTTTTTTTTTTAATTTAATATTTCTGCTTAATCTCTGGCTTTAAAGATTTCTCATTTATCATTTTTTTCAATTGTATATATTAAAACATTAATGTGCAAAGTATTATAATGTACTAACATATAAAGCTTTAAAGATAAAAGGTCATTATAATGAATGTCCAATAGAGTTGGGTGATATTTCAGAAACTTAATTATTTTAATCTTGGAAAAGGTAAACTAATATACTTTGCATGTTTTTCTATTGATGTAACATTTTCCAAAAAAATATTGAATTTAATTTGTTAATGATTTAAAACGTGATGGAACAATCTGGCCATTGTTAAACTCTTCTCTTTCTCTGAATTGAAGTTTCTTTAATGATTTTACAGGTATCCATTTAAAAATCCTTTGTGAATACAGTATTAATATGTATTAAATGAAATAAATAATCTATTGCATATTTTTACAATGGTTACATTTTTTTTAGGAAAACGAAACGACAGAGGGGGCGGCTTTGACAAAGGCGGCAGAGGTGGCCGAGGAGGTGGAAGAGGCGGTGGTGGTTTTCGCGGGGGTGATAGATACGGTAACGACGATTTCGATGGACGAGGTCCACCAAGAGGGACTTTCAATGACAGAGACCGAGGGGGCCAAAGAGGCAACTATGGCAATTTCGCAGGTAATGACAATATTTTATAGATTGATTTAGATAAATAATTAATTTAGTCCAAGCAGTGGGTGGTTTCTATTTGCAAAAGGTCAGAAAGAAATCAAATTTGGTGGGATGGTAGACATAGGTCCCATGATACTACACCTACGTTTGCGACCTCCGGAGGTTGCCGCTCGAGGGGTGGAGGGATGAAAACTCTGCGTCGCGACGCTTTTCGGGAAATAGTGCCGTTGTGGTAAGTGCTATCGAAAAAAAGTTCAAATGAAATATGTACAGGACAAAATCGTGCACAATTTTGACCTCTACATTTTTTGTTTGCGACTAATAGTTCCCGCTCTACGATGCGCCAAAGTAGGGGGTTGATTTGCAATGTTCAACAAAATGAGAATTTCAGCGCGGATTAAGACAGATCGCTATGAAACAATTATGTAATATTTTTTTTTCTAAAATTGTTATGATTTTTGAGTCTGCAGATGCCCGATTTGATACATTTAGTCGGATATAATAAATGATATGAAGTTTTGAAGTGCGTCCCTACATATCGCTGTTCCGGTAAAACAACGACGCAAATGCAAAATTATAAATTTTTCAGGAGAGACGAAAAACGAATATTATTACTTCCAAATTTGAGCACATAAATCACAAAGAACTTGTCCTAAATAGCAAATACAACATTTAACCATAGACTAAGTAATGTCTCCCTTAAATTTGCAGACACAACTGATTCATATGTCATTGTTTTTCAAAAGTGGAGGGGCAAACATTAATATTTGAAAATTGAAGTAACTACCATTTAGATGGCCGGGAGTGGATAAAAAATTTCGCCGTTGTTATACCGTATAGAGAGACTAATTTGGAAACTAATGACATGTTAAAATCAAAATGTCACAATTTTGCACTTGCGTCATTGTTTTACCGGAACGGCGATATTACGATATAAACATTTTGTAATTATCAGTATCTACAGTCAATATTTCCTTATTATTGTTGACCTAGGCGCCAAATTTATTCTTTTTGTGCATACATGATACAAGAAAGTATCATTTTCAACTCGTTTCCACACCACCCTTGAGGTAGAGTTGATCGGCGCGTGATTTTTAACGTGGTATTCCCAAGAGGCCTATTCCACAGTTGATATTTGGGTTTATTCGTCAAACTCGGTGTTGTACGTTTGGTTCTCATCGTCCTGTAACTGATCGTGAACGTTTTCGACATCTTCTGCATTGTCGTCGTCTAACGCAATCTTGTCCGGAATGTTTTCGCAGGTTATCTCAGTACAGTGTAAACACAGAATCGAACATTTCAATCCTATTTTACGGCAACCACAAGCAGATCCACAATCTTTCTTGTATCTGCACGAGATGCTCTTAAGTAAAACATCTGGATCTGGTTCCTCTGCCAGATCCACAATCTTTCTTGCATCTGCACGAGATGCTCTTAAGTAAAACATCTGGAGCTGGTTCCTCTGCAATCCGTACTGCGTCCAGTCCTTTGGTTGTTCTTCGCCATCCATGATCTTCTGGAGGTTTCTGTACTCCCCACCAGTTATGTACTTGACAATAAGTATGCAATGAATGATGACCGTTTTTGTGTTTCTCCGTCCAAGGGGCACGTATGCTATACCACAAACAGGATATTCATGACAACAAATGCACAAAAGTAAATTTAGCGCCTAAATCAATAATAATAATAATAATAATAATAATAATAATAATAATAATAATAATAATAATAATAATAAATTCATTTATTTGCAGCTTACACAGAATATGGAACAAAAAAATATAATTGTAAACAAAACAAACACTTAATGTAACACTGCAAAATAGAGCTGGCATACAGTAAAACTGATTCTAAGTGCCAGCCCTAGACAAAAAAAAAATAAATATTAACAAGCGTTTACAATCAACCTTTGAACTATAATATCAATATTTAAGAATTTTTAAATGATGTATTCGAGAGAAAAATATATAGACTAATAAATTAATGTTTATTTAGAGACTAATCAATGTTTATATCCTTATTGTACAACATTTTCTTATATGTTTTTGTAAAACGACTTATACTGTACATTTTTAACTGTGTTGAAATTCCGTTATAAAGCTTATATATCATGTAAGTAAAGGATCTTTGGAACATCGAAGTTCGATGTGGTGGTAGAGATATTTTACCGCGTGAACGTATATTTATATTGTGAATATCTGAGCGATATCTAACTTTATTAAACAAATATGGGGGCGACTTAAATACAATTATTTTGTGAAACAGAGTAACCATAGTCATAAGGAAATATTGACTGTAGATTCTGATAATTACAAAATCTTTATATCGGAGTATGTAGGGGCGCACTTCAAAACATCATAGCATTTATTATATACAACCAAATGTATCAAATTGGGCATCTACAGACTCAGGAATGATTACTCTTTTAGAAAAAAAATATTACATAATTGTTTCATATCGATTTTCGTCTTAATCCGTACTGAAATTCTTATTTTGTTGAACATTGCAAATCAACCCCCTACTTTGGCGCGTCGTAGAGAGGAAACTATTGGTCGCAGACAAAAAAATGTAGAGGCCAAAATTGTGTACGATTTTGTCCTGTGCATGTTTTATTTGAATTTAATTTCGATAGCACTTACCACAACGGCGCTATTTCCCAAAATGCGTCGCGACGCAGAGTTTTCATTCCTCTACCCTCGAGCGGCAACCCCCCGAGGTCGCAAACTTAGGTGTAGTATCAGGGGACCCATGTCTACCATCCCACCAAATTTCATTTCCTTCCGACCTTTTGCGAATAGACCCCCTTATTCTTTACCCACTGCTTGGACTAAATTTATGAAGTTTTTCTTTTTAATTTACAATTTATGAAAACTTACCTGAAATATTATCAAGTATTTTTTAGTAAGTTGAGCAAAGTAACAAAAAACGTTAAAAAACTCCGGTTCATTACCATTGTATGGTGGACGCCGTGGTAAGAGAGTAGATGTAAGATTTTCCTTCGTAAACTGAGAAACAAACAGAAATGTTCCGTAATGTTCTTTACTAAAAAAGTAACACCTACAATTTTTGATTATAAACTACAGAACATAGTTCTAAATCGACCCGAACTTATAAGAGATCTCGGAGTTTATTTTGATTCTGAACTAACTGTCGTTAAACACATTGAAACAATGTTATCTGCTGCTAACAGGAGCTTAGGGTTTGTTATACGAAGCTGTAAAGAATTCTAAGACATATTCACCTTATCGTTGTGTTGTTTGGAATCCCGTGCATAACATTTATACTGACTTAGTTGAAAAAGTTCAAAGAAAATTCATGAAATCAGCTTCCTACATTTTAGATGGTATATACCCTACAAGGGGATATCCCCTCGATTTACTGATATCTAGATTCAATCTTTCAGATCTCGTGATATGCAGAAATTTCCAACAGGTACTCCTACTTTATAATCTTTTAAATGCCTCTGTCGACAGTATTGATTTGTTAAATTAGTTAATCTAAAAATCCCTCCTGTTGGTTTAAGAGTTTACTTGAGTTTCTACATGCCAGCTTCTAGAACTAATGTTTTGAACTCATCTCCAATGTACCAATCTATTCAGAAATAGGAAATTCAAGACAGCTTGGATATTTTTGCATGTAACAAATATACGAATAAAAATGTTTTTACTTTAACAATGTAAAAAGCATGTAACACAATGTATACTCGGACAAAATATTGAAGAAGGTGATTCCTTCCTGTTCACGTACAACAATCATACTATACCAGAGCATAATAAATGGAATCACGCGCTTAAAACTGCAGAAGTTATCGGAATCACGTGCCAACTAGTCATAAATGCATGTTTATTGCCAAAATGAATTACGCCAGTGGCGTATAAAAACTATTGGCAAATTAAATGCGGTAATAGTAAATAATATATGAAAGTAGGTTGGTTATCTATTTTTGTAGTAATAATCATTTATGTTTATAATTTTGTTTTGTTTATTGTTAAAATATGTAAATATTATGCCAGTGGCGTAGAAACACTATTGGAAAATTAAATGGGGTAATATACTACTAATACAAAATATTGAAGAAGGTGCGCCTTAAAACTGCAAAAGTTATCATCATATCAAAATGCACTCTTCCAGTGTCGCAGAAATACTATATCGGCAAATTAAATGGGTGTTTGTGAATATTACTAGATGAAAGTAGGTTGGTTATCTATTTTTGTTATAATAATTCATCTATGTTTATAATTGTATTTTGTTTATTATAAAAATATGTAAATTAAGCTTGGTATCACTTACTTGAATTCTAAATCTATGAAGTTTCGTAATCCATTGATTCTGCAGAACTATCACTGGAATCGTCTTTATCGTCGGAACTTAAAGTTATGACTAAAGGTTCAACTACCGTTTCGATCATACCGTCCAAGCACCACATATTATTTTCTTCCTTAATTACATGGGAAATAGCATTCTGCCAATCTTCAGGTTTTATATGTTCTATACCGGTTTTTAATAAACTTTGAACGTCGGCTATTTTAAAAATTTTATTTTCTCTAGTTACAAACCCTTTCACTTGCGCCCAAATTAGTTCAACAGGATTAAATTCGCAGTCACACCACGATCACGAGCCATTGTGTCGACAACATATTGAATATATGTATGGCGGTGTTCCTTTATTATGTCCATTAATTCCACTTTAAGCATCTCCTCAGTAAATTTTATTGCTTTATCCCGCAGCCAGGTTTGCATATCCGCTTTTCTACTGGACATTATCGTTCAACTCGTCGACTGTGATAAGAAGCGTTATCTAGTACAATAACTGAATTTCGTTCTACACGCTGTAATACTTCAGTAAACCATTTTTCAAAGCATTTCGCATTCATGTCTTCTGTTTTTTTCGATATAAACACAAGAGCGCTATTTTCCAAAAATCCACTGTCACTTCCGATATGGGCAACAATTAGGCGCTGTCCTTTACCTGATGGTGCTTTCAAACCTGTAGATAATCCCTCTAT